AGAGGACTGCTGTGTGCCAGGCATGGGGCAAGGTGTGAGGGGGCAAAGGCCAACCACCCAGAAAGGAGCTGGTGAGGACACTTGGGGTGCCTGTAACGCAGGGGGCTCAGAGCCGGCAGACCTTATAGGAGATGGGACCCAGGGAAGTGGGGAGAAGCAAAAGTGCTGGGGGGTCAGTGAGCACAGCCCAGCAAAGGCAGCAACCAGAGCCCCAGGTGTGTATTAGATGGGCTCTGTCTGTCTGTCTCTGTCTGTCTCTGTCTCCCCCTCTCCACCTCTGTCCCGCCCCCATTGCTCTCCCCACCTCCACACCCCCTCCCCTCAGCACCAGGGTCCTGATGGCCCCTCGGTAAGGACCAGTAAGGATGCCGGGACAGTGGTGGGCACAGGAGAGGCAGGGGGGGTGCTCTGAGCCCCTCTGCTGCCCCAACTTGACTTCCCTGTGACCAGTTCTGACTCCCCTCGCAGAATGTCCCGGGAAGAGGCCACCAGCCTGGACTAGAACAGGACTCTTGGCCTCTCCTCGAAAAGCGAACGAATGACAGCAGAAATGTCTGCCGCCTCCTTCCAGGGTCCCTCCCGCCGGCCGCCCAGCCAGCCAGGATGTTTGGTCTCTGGAGAACCTTCACTAGCGTGGTTTTCTACCTCACTCTGGCCGTCAGCCTCGTGGGGCTGGTGGGGAACGGGCTGGTCCTCTGGCACCTGGGCTTCCACATCAGGAAGGGCCCGTTCTCCGTCTACGCCCTGCACCTGGCCGCCGCCGACTTCCTGTTCCTCTGCTGCCACGCGGCCTTCTCCATCGCCCAGGTCGCCCTGGGCTCCCAGAACACCGTCTACTTCGTGGTCACTTTCATCGGGTTTGCGACGGGGCTCTGGCTGCTGGCAGCCTTCAGCCTGGAGCTCTGCCTGTCCGAGCTCTTCCCCGCCTGCTACCAGAGCTGCCGCCCCAGACACACGTCGGGCGTCGTCTGCGGCCTGATCTGGGCCCTGAGCCTGCCGGTCGTGCTGCTGCCCGCTCATGCCTGTGGCCAGCTGTGGGACGGGGCGCGCCTGCTGGCCTGTCTGCGGTACCACGCGGCCTGCATCACGTGGCTGCTGGTCCTGGCCTGCGTGGCCTGCGTGGCCGGGCTGGTCCTCTTCATCTGGGTGGCATGCTGCTCCCAGCGCCCGCGCCCCAAGTTCTACGGCGCCGTCCTGGGCTCCGTGCTCCTGCTCACCGTCTGCGGCCTACCCTACGTCCTCTACTGGAGCCTGCGGCCCCTCCTCAATGTCCTGCTGCCCATATTCCCCCCGCTGGCCACCCTCCTGGCCTGTGTCCACACCAGCTTCAAACCACTCATCTATTTCACCGCCGGCCGGCAACCAAGAAAACGCGAGCCATTGAGGGCGGTTCTCCAGAGGGCCCTGGGGGACGGGGTCCAGCTGGGGCCTAGGGGGCTGTCCCTGCCCATGAGTGCCATATAGGGGTGCTAGGGCCCCACCCCTCGCCAGGCCTTTCCAGGACCATGTGTGACCCAGCCCCACTCCCAGCTCACTTGCCCAAGGTCCTGACCCCCCCATGGGGAGCGCGTGGCGGACAAGGGAAGCATGAAGAAGACTCCAGGACAGGGGCAGGGGCGGGCACCCCGCAGCCAGAGCCCACATCCCCAGCTCCCACCGCGTCCACTCCCTGCCACTCAAGGGAAAGCTGAGGGCAGGGCGTGGAAGAGAGGACTACACGGCGGGCTGTCTTTGCAGGGTGCACGATAAGANCCAACTCCAGATGAAAGTTATAAATTATGGTTTGTTTTCATTGTCTGAGGCCAAGCTCACGCCTCAGCTATTCAATTATCTCAGAAGCTGGAAAAGAACAGCAAATATATTCAACCTAAAACATGACGTCTACTTGAGTTGTGTCTCTTTTCATGAAATCGCCCACTTCTCCCAGAACCCTGGCACCTTTCATCTCTGGAAAACACACCCTTCGCCCTGACTGCATCTGGGATGGGGGGGGGGGGCTCTGGCAGGGAGCTGTTCCGATGGGTGCCTGGGGGTCCACTCAGCCACGCTGCTTCCGCACCCCCTGCCATGTGTGCTCGTGACAGTGGGCTAAGCGCGGTTATTTTCTTGAAAGGATCTTTTTAGAGGAAAAAGCTAATTCTTTAAAACTCTTCTCACAGCCCTTGGAACCCTAAGAAAAGTAAGAAAAGCCAGCATATGCCAAATCTTTACTTTGTGTTGGGCACGGGAGCAAACACGTAACGTGTGACATCACGTAATGTTCACAAGTGGGAAGCGGAGACACCAGAGCACGTGGGAGGCAGAGAGACAGTGCTGGCCCGGGGGTCCGCTTTCCAGGCTCCCAACCAGCTGCTGGCACAGGGAGGCACACAGCCCCTGCGGAGGTGCCTACAGGACCCCAGCTTGGGAATCGGAGACGGGGCGTGGGGGACGGGCAGGGAGAGCACAGCCTCAGACCCAGTCCCCTCGCCCCCCACACACAGCTCACAGCACCTGCCTGCAGTTGCCCCTTTATTCCCTGTACCCTGATGCTCGGACACCTGGGGCCTTGGTGACCTGGAGAACTGCTTCTCCCAGAGTCAACCAGTTCCCAGAGATGACGAACCACTGCCCAGATCACAAACCACCGAGGCAGAGCCACACCAGCCTCCACCTTATTGGCCCAACACTCAGGGCCACTATCTCCTGCCCTTGTCACCCCAGGGCAGGTCCCAGACACCCAGGGACAGCCGCTATCCCCCAGAGCCCCCTGAAATTGTTCCAACTTGCCAAACCTAGGCCTGCTCACCTGCCTCACCACCCGTTCCTTCCTTCCCTCAGGAACCACAATCAAGGCTCCTGCCCCCCGGCCCCCACCCCCGCCTCCTGGCTCAGGAGGGGCGTCCCCAGCGGTCCCCCCTCTGGAGGGCTGTGAGTAGCCCTCCAGCTACTCGGTGACAGTGGTGCCCTGATGCCTTGCCAACCCTGATAATAATAACTCGGGCAGTAAGACACCCCATCACCAATGAGCCCCCATGGACAGGCCAGCAGCCAGGTTGTGGCCCTGGGACACCCCACTGCCGGGAACAGGGCCATTCTCCTCCACGCCTCCTCTGTGCCTGGGCCACGCGCCACCTTCTGCCCCCGTCTGGGTCTCAGAGTCGGGCAGATTTTGATCTGGGGCTCAGATGAGACGGTGGTGGGGAAAGGATGTGAACAGAAGGGGTCGTGACAGGACCTCCCGTGTCCCCCGACCCCCATTCCCTGTGACTCAGTTCCTCCCATTTTGTGTTCCTGAATCACATGACACAGCCAAGATGTGACAAAACCACTGCCCACACCTGCAGACTGGGAAACCGAGGGACAGAGGCACGCTGACCTGCCTCAGGCCACAGAGCGGGGCTTAGGCTGAAGTGAGTGAAATTGCCCACGCTGTGGGTCAAAGTGATGGGATAGCAGCCATTTCCTACAGTGGAGCCACCCTGCGACGCGTCGGGACACTGGTCACCCAGTGTCACAGGCTGCTCAGACGGCCCAGCCATGAGACCAGCTCAGGAAGGGTGCGGCTAGTGGAGGGCGCTGGGCGTCTCGGGCGACAGCTCAAAGCCAGGGCAACCTGGGCTTCCAGCTGTGAGCACACCTGAGGCAGCGCCGGCCTGGCTCCACCCCTCATCACCGCGGTCTGCGCAGCCCCACACAGCTGTTCCTGTTTCCTGTCTTGCTTTCCCCATTAGCTCAGAGTACATGAGATGCTCCTTACGAGGCACTTAGAGCAGTGTCGGCACATAACACCATCGTCCCCGTGTCCCAGGGCGGCCGTAACAGAGGACCACAGCCGGGGCAGCTTAGGACAACGGACCTTCATCCTCGCCCCGTTCTAGAGAACAGGGTCTGACACGCCCTCCAGAGGCTGTGGGAGAAGATGTCCCCTGCCTTTTCCAGCTTCTGGGGGCTCTGGGTGTCCCTGGGCTTGTGGCCACATCCCTGGTCACGTGGCCTCCTCTGTGTCTCCCCTCTCCTTTCTCTTATAAGGATGCTTGTCATTGGATTTAGGGTCCACCTGGGAATTGCGGGGCGATGCCATTCCAGAGTCCTCACTGTCTTCTGCTAAGACCTTTCTCCCGACAATGCCCCCTCATAGCTTTCAGGCCCTGGACGTGGACATGCCTTTTGGGGGCCCCATTCAGCCCACGACACGCATCACACAGACGTCTACTGCCATCAGTATCGCTGACATCCTGAGAGGGGACATGTCTTGAGCTCACGGCAGGGGACAGAGAACACGGGGCTGCCTGGGAGAAGAGCGGGGGGCAGGCTGGGATGACCTCTGAGGAAAGGGGGCACGCATCCCTGCGCAAGCTGAGCGCGGGTGCCGGGGCTGCTGCAGGTGGAGCGGGCAGGGCGGGGACCGGGTCCTGCAGGAGGACACGGTCACGGGGCCTGGAGGACTCGCAAACTGTGCATGTTCTTAAGCCAAGTGCAGGAATGGCGGCCACCTGGGCCTGGAACCTCGGGCCGTGCTGAAGGGTGCTCCTCCACGGCGGTCAGTTGTGCTACGGAAATGACCTCAAAGCCAAATCCATTTGAGACACACGAGGACAACCAGCAACCTTAGGACATGATCTGTCCTTTGTCATGCTGACGAGCTCTGGGGTCCCCAGGAACTATAGAACACAGCCCCCCGGAAAGGGACATTTCTCACGGAACATTTCGGGGCACTGGCTCTGCGGAATAAAATTTGGAAAATATTTTAACCCCAAAGAATTCGTTGACAGCTGGGTCCCCAGGGTGTGAGTCAGGCCGGCAGGTGGACGGTAAGGGGGGAGGGGCCGTCAGGAAGGGGGTCTCGTCTGCAGGCCATGCACAGCGGCACCGACCAGGGACCCATCAGGAGATTTAGCCCCAAGCCAGGCACCAAGCTATCCATGAATGGTCAGTCCAAGGAGAGGGGGAAACTGAGGCACAGAGGGGTCAGGTCACTCTGTCAAGGCCACGCAGTCAGAGGCCACACATGCACCTCTACAACACCCCCAAAGGACCCCGGAGTAGGGACTCCCACACTGGAAACCCCCTGCTGGACATGGGGGTCCTTTCTGCTGCTCCCTCCCATCCATGCACCTGGTGGGGGCGGGGGGGGCACTCATGTGCTTGAGGCTGCAGCCCGGTGGGGATGGGCTAAGGAAGGAGGGGAGGGGAGGGCCAGCCCACACCCAGGAGCTCGCGGTCTGAGCTCTTTCCTGGAAAGGGGGAGTACACTCATCCCACTTCCAGAGAACTGGCCCACAGTCCAGCCTGGCCCCAGAGGACACCGAGAGGATTTAGGGCCCAGGAGGAGCCCCGGGACATTCATGCGGTTGTGCAGCTGCCCCAGCAGGTCTCAGAGAGGAACCGGTCAGCAGGTAAGAAGGCTCAGAGTTCCTCCCTCTCCCAGGTGAGGAGCTGCCCTGCTCCCTCTGGGTCTGCCTCAGACACCCCCTGAGACAGTGTGGCTTCCATGGGGTCAGGGAGTGGGGCATGGGGGTGGGAA